CACAAAGTAAGTCTAGCTATATATATATATATATATATATATATATATATATAATTCAATTAACATCATGCATGCTTTCAATTCACCGGATCTTTTTTCTCATAAAAGTGGGTTCTGAGGCAAGAACAGGGGACCAATTACTGCGGATACTATGTTTGCGAGTTCATCATGCCGTACGCAAAAAGAACTCCTGAAGAGATCCTCAAAGTATGTTATATAAATATATTCATAATTTCTTTTATTGCTCATATATATAAGTAATCATATGACCAAAACACACACACACACATATATATATATATATATATATATATTAATACTTTTCTTTAACTTTTATTGAAGACTCTATGGTTAAAGGAAAAAGTCATATGACGTGACTAACTGAAAGCAATTCAAGAGACCATAGCAGGATTTTTTAATGACCAGGTCTTAAATCCCGTCGGCGAGTTCTACATGACATGAACAAAACATGGAAGCCAAACCAGATGGAGTGAATTTGTTATCCCAAGGATATGATAAAATATACAATGCAAGCTTTATTTGTAATATATATATATATATATATATATATTATATGTACATAAAATAACGTACAATATATGTATATGCACGTAATATATACGTTAGTTTCATACTTTAGTTTGTATAAAATGTTCGAACATTATAAACGTGTAGAATACGTATATTATTAGCAGCGTAGAATGCGTATTCGAAAACCTATTTGAAAACAAAAACGAATCATCAATTGAAAATGGAAACAAAAAAAAAAAAAAAAAAAAAAAAACCCCGGTTGGTAATACCAACCGGGACTAAAGGGCCGGCCCACGTGGCCAGGCTGGAAGGCCTCTTTAACCTCGATTGGTATTACCAACTGGGATTAAAGGTGGACCTTTAGTCCCGAGCAAGAAACCGGGACTAAATGAGGGGTCCTTTAGTCCCGGATTTGTGCTCCCGATTGAGAAACCGGGACTGAATGGATTTTTCAACTCTTTAACCAGCATCTGTGTTTACAAAGGGATAATTAGGGATACGGATCGGATACGAACGGATATCGTTGATACCATATTTGTTTTCATATTTCGCCGATTCGGATTGAACACGGATAGCTATAGATTCATATACGAATACGTTATAGATACGAATAAAGTATCGAATACGGTATGAATCGGATTCGGATAACGTCGAATACAAATATCCGGATATTAAGTAAAAGCAACGTTTATATATCATAGAGGTGCCCAAACCATTAAACCACTCCATGAGTCTATAATCCATCTAGATTAAGCTCTGGGCGGAGATGTGATGTGTTGGTAGGCTTTGTACTTCAACATAAACACTGTAGTACTTTATGCTTTGAGTTTATAATACACAAATATTTTTTAACAAATAAATGTGGATGAAATAAGTTTGGGCTCAACATGGAAAAGGCAAGGCTCCTGAAAACGTCCACCTCTGATAATACTTAAACGGAAGTATCCGGACGGATATATCCGTTTTTTATGTTATCCGTATGCGGATATAAATTTGTATTTGATATCCGTGGTTGTTGTATCCGGAAAAAATTCGAATATTATCATTTAAGTGTTCATAGGTGAACGACGGTCGGATAAATATCCGCAGTCTCATCATACGATAATACAAAGGAGGATTGAGTGGTTGTTGTTGGGCGTCTGTCTACGAGGAGGATTGAACTTGGGCGTTGGCGTGTTGCTGCCAGTTGCTTCGTTTCAGAAAAAATAAAAGCCGCCGGTTCAGTCCTGACTCGAGCGAGTGAACTGATCACCGCAACCCGCGAGGCCGCGACGTAGGCATCAGCCAGCGGTAGCATTTGACAAAGGAAAGCGCAAGTCTCTGGAGTACATGTTCGATCGAGTTGACCATGTCAGAATTAGAGAACGTATCCGCTGTGTTGGCATGGAACCCAATTCTCAAAGCGCAAGGCATGAAGACAAACTCGTCCATCTAAATTATTCTTGGGCATAGTTATTAGAAACAGTGCCGCTACAGAGCACAAAATGACAGAATACATAGCATGCCACACAGATTTGACACTAGCAAAACAATGCAGCCTCTAGGAGGATGCTAGGATGTCACGCAAATCTGAACGTCATCTCAGCGGCCCGCTGCCTGTATGGCCATGCATGCTGTCAGTCTGTCATCATGCGGGCGGCGGCGACAACTTGCAGGGGTAGGAGCACCAGCACGAGACTCGGACGCAGCCGAATGCATGGACGCACACTCCAGCGCCCTTGAGCTTGATGAAGCAGTTGGCGTTGCACGCCTTTTGGTCGCAGCCGCTGTTGGACAAGATCTTCCAACACTTATGGTCGTGTGGGTACTCCCGGCCCAGCTCGCCGTCGGCACCGGTGCTGTGCCTGTGCAGATCCCTGCAGGGAAGAAATGGAGATCAGATCACTACGGTATTGCTATGAAGTATGAACTGACGCTATGGTCGTGTGGTGGAAAAACCAACGGTCCTGCTGCTTATGGATCGTTACCTGTTGACAGCATCGCCATCACCATGGCAAGGACGAGGAGCAGTGCTCCATGGTAGGTACGTTCTCATTCTCAAGGCCAGGTTGATGCAGTTGTTTGATGGTTTTGCTGTTGATAGTTTTCGAATGCCTATGATTCTCAACGGTTGAGGTGGGGTAGTTTTATAGTGGAAAATTCAAGATTTACATCATTATTTTCTTTACTAATTTCATTTAGATAATCGGCTTGGAGTAACTGGTTGCGATCGAGATTCCCGCAAAACTTGAAACGTTCCAGTAAATTGTGGTTCTTGTCTGTATACTTACAGCATAATATTGATACTTCTTTCTTTGGGTGTCAAGCAGTATAGATACTTTTAATGGCTGCTAAAAAAACTATGATCTATTTAACCAATGTATTATATATAGTTATTACATCCTGATTTTGGCTACTTCCTTCATCCACAAATAAAAGGGGTCTTGAGATTTACATGACATATTAAGCTAGATAAGAAAAAACACATGTATCGCAGCCCATATACATGTTTTGATAGGTAGTACTCCCTCTTCCCAAAAAAAAAAAAAACTTGATGTTCTGTGATTCAAAAAAGTGTAAATTATATTCACCGTATAACAAATTGACAAGTGGATGCAGATTAATCGGACAACTTGTGAACTGCTCAAGTAGTTACAATAACTTGACAAATTGATGTATTTATTATGTTACAAATGTTGCTATTGTGATAACATATGTATTCATATCATATATTAGGCGCTAGGATTATTGCAGGGTTGTGGCACATGCATTATGTGTGAGGTTAGCGTGGAGTGTTTTAAGATGGTTTTGGCAACCATATGACGATGGACATCAGGAAGCAAGTGCTTCACAACGTCGATCACCTAAGCCACTAGCGATGGAGGCCCCTCGTCGGCCCCCAACCAAACACATGCGAAATTGGGTTCGCCCCGTCCCGTCCCAAGATCCTCGCAACCAAACACATCCTAAGAGAAGTTGAAATCGGAACCAATTGCAGCTCCGCTGACCGCTGGACGGGACATAGACTCTTTACACGCACATGAAGAAAACGGTGGTGCGGGCTAGCTGACGGCCGTCCTTCACTTTCTAGATCCAGCGTTATGCGTTTGCTAGGGCTTGTTGTTTTTTCTACCGAACGGGGTAAACCAAAACGGCTTCACTGGTGAAGCCCCTTAAGGCCTCGTTTGACACAGCTCCATTTCACCAGTGAAGTCTTTTTTTTTCTTTAGCTCCATCGGTGGAGTTGGAACCATTTTGGTAAATTGTTTGGCAAAATAGCTCCATATGTAGAGCTCCTTAAAGTATGATCTCTTAGAACTCTACGTAGGGTCCACCAAGACGAGGTGAAGCCACTATTTTTTGCTCCACCCTCCATATATCATTTGTGAGAGTACGATTTAAGGACCTCCTTGGATAAAGCCACTTGGTTTTACCCCTAGCTCGAAACGGCTTCAAGAGCTACTAGAGAAGGCGTGGCAAAAAAAAAAGTGGCTTCACTTTGCCCAGGTGGACCCAGCGTGGATGAAATCCTGGTTGCCCCTAATCGACTTGCACGGTTGTGGGTGTGCTCGGTCGCCAGGATGTGCAGCGCGGGCTCGATCGTCGAGGCGCGTCGGCCCGTCCAGGACCGTCGAGGCACACCAGCGCGAGCGCAGCCACGGGGCCCGTGCCGCGTGCCGCCGAGGCACACCGGCACAGGCGCAGCCGTCGGGGGCGCGGCGTGGGCCGCCAGGGGCGCGCGGCGTGTGTTGCCAGGGCACACCGGCGCGGGCGCAGGCCGCCAAGCAGCATGGCGCGCGGCGCTCGTGCGCGCCACCGAGGTGTGGACGTGTGCATAGAGGGTGAAGCTAGAAGGAGGAGGAAGAAGAAGAAAATAGGAGAGGCAAAAATTAAAAAAAAAGAGAATGGTATTATGGTCTTTTTATCTCTTTTGTCTATCATAAGGAGTTGTTTTACCAAACAATTACCAAAACGACTCCGGCTTCAACGGGAGGGCTGTTCGTTAAGGAAACGGCTTAACTGATAAAGTAGAGCCGTACTAAATGGGACCTTACAATGTTCACCAAGACACCAAGTATTCGTTGTTTTGCCTACGAGGAGGATTGAACTTGAGTGTTGCTGCCAGTTCCGTTCTGACTCCCTAGCTAGTGAGCTAATCGCCGCAACCTGCGACGTTGGCATCAGCGCGTTGGGACTTGAGAAAGGAAAGCGCGAGTCTCTGGAGTACATGCATGTTCGAGTTGTCCATGGGTTGGCATGGCACCCAACTCAATTCTCAAAGTGCAAGGCATAAAGACGAAATTATTTTCGAGCATGGTAATTAGAAACCTTGCCGCTACAGAGCACAAAATGACAGAATACATAGCACGCCACACAGATTTGAATATTTGACACTAGCAAAAACAAGCAGCCTCTCGGAGGATGCTAGGATGTCACGCAAATCTGAACGTCATCTCAGCGGCCCGCTGCCTGTATGGCCATGCATGCTGTCAGTCTGTCATCATGCGGGCGGCGGCGGCTAACTTGCAGGGGTAGTAGCACCAGCACGCGACTCGGACGCTCCCATGGGTGCACAATCCAACGCCCTTGAGCTTGATGAAGCAGTTGGCGTCGCACGCCTTTTGGTCGCAGCCGCTGTTAGACAACAGCTTCCAACACCTATAGGCGTATGGGTACTCCGGCGAGCTCACCGTCGGCGCCGGCGCTGGCACCGGTGTTGTGCCTGTGCAGATCCCTGCAGGGAGAAATGGAGATCAGATCACTACGGTATTGCTATGAACTGACGCTTTAGTCGTGTGGTGGAAAACCAACGGTCCTGCTGCTTACGGATCGTTACCTGTTGACAGCATCGCCATCACCATGGCAAGGACGAGGAGCAGCGCTCCATGGTAGGTTCTCATTCTCATGGCCAGTGGGATGCAGTTGTTTGATGGTTTTGCTGTAGATTGTTTTCGAATGCCTATGATTCTGAACGCGGTTGAGGTGGGGTAGTTTTATAGGGGAAAATTCAAGATTTTAAATCATTATTTTCTTTACTAATTTCATTTAGATAATCGGCTTGGAGTAACTGGTTGCGAGATTCCCGCAAAACTTGAAACGTTCCAGCAAATTGTGGTTCTTGTCAGTATACTTATAGCATAGTATTGATACTTCTTTCTTTGGGTGTCAAGCAGTATAGATACTTTTAATTGCTGCTAAACAAAACTATGATCTATTTATTACATCCTGATTTTGGCTACTCCCTTCATCCACAAATATAAGGGGTCTTGAGATTTACATGACAGATTAAGCTAGATAAGAAAAAACACATGTATCACGGCCCATATACATGTTTCGATAGGTAGTACTCCCTCTTTCCCAAAAAGCTTGATGTTATGTGATTAAAAAAAAGAGTAATAAATTATAGTCACCATATAACTACTTGACAAGTGGATGCAGATTAGTCGAACAACTTGTAAACTGCTCAAATAGTTACAGTAACTTGACAAATTGGTGTATGTATGGGACAAATGCTGCTATTGTGATAAAATATGTATTCATATCATATATAGGCGCTAGGATTATTGCAGGTTTGTGGCACGAGCATTATGTGTAAGGTAAGATGGTTTTGGCAACCATAGGATGGACATCACGAAGCAAGTGCTCCACAACGTCGATCACCCTCACCATCAGAAGCCAGTGCCGCTCCTCGTTGATAGTTAGTGCCTATTATTCTTGATCTTTAATCCTTTATTCTAATCATGCCATGGTGGGTATTAGTTCATAAGCTTGCAGGACTAGGATCATGGTGTTTCTCTCCTTTTGCTACAACTACTCTGCTCTTGGCCAATAATATGATAGTACAAGTTTGTGTTTTTATGGAACGATGATCAATAGTTTGTTGTCAAATACTGGAGTGGTAGCATAGGGTATTGATAGGATTATGTCCATGGACTATCGTGTAATAGAAATATTATATCCTTTTTTGTTCAAAATAGAAGGTTGAAAATTTTCAGTGCAAATGTTGTCATCTTTTGTAAATTGCAACCAATCTAGTGTTATTTCAGGTTTGATTTGTGATGTTCATACAAGCAAATTATGAAGATTCATATCCATGGTCTGAAGTTACTGCATTCTGGTTTGTACTGCTAAAAATTAGGAAGAACATAGGTAGGACGGACCACTCCACCACAGAGTGCAGTAGTAACTAAGCAGATGTTGTGACAAAAACAGATAGACTTGTTGAGGCCATAAACTGGACAACTGACCACTACACAATAATTGGCAGTACAGGATAAAGGCAAATTGAACAGCATAATGAACTACTAACCAAAAAGCTAAGGTTTATTCTAACACACACCACTGCAACAATATTTTGGGTAGGAGTGTCAACCATCAAACCCAGGTTTATATATGGGCTCTATGGCCACAAGCCCACAATAGTATGAAAACCATTCGGTACCTTCTAATAACAAGCCATAAACTAAGCCAAGGATGAATTGCCTGAGACGAGACCACACAGGACACTAGACCCTAGAAGCCTGGATCACCAGCTATGGTTCGCAAACCGTCATCTCATAACTGGAACCCTATGCTGACTTCCATTATGCATCCCAGCTTGCGCGTTTGCCTGCCCGAAGTGGCCAGAAAAACTGAGATGGTGGCTTGGGTGCTGCAAGAAGGCGTCATCTCTGCGCAACATTGGAGTCACAGTGAAGGCAAGAGCTGAAGAAACAGCCTTCTTGCTACTGTCATGTGAGGCCATTGTTTTGGTTGCCGGCATAGATCGATTTCCAGCTGTGCCACCACCAAGCCGTAGATGAGTTGAGCCTGAGGAGCTTGTGCCATTTGTGGTGGACCTGGTGGAGGCAGTGTGAGACTGCTGTTGCTGCTGGAGCTGCTTAGTGTTGAGGAATCGTCCACCAGAACCTCGTGCCCTCTTCATTGCATGAAGATGCCTAGACTCATGAAGGTAAGGCTGCCATGAAGATTATATCCAGCATTAGGCCAAGCATAAGAGACTAATGACAAAAGGTTGCATGTTGAGAGATGGGACAGCAAGATCAAAGTAAATAAGGGACTAATAACACAGACCTTTCGGGCTTTGACTAGCTTGTTCTGAGCCTCTAACTTGGCACGTAACTGTCTTCTGCGAAGTATCCCATGATATTGTTTGGGATTCACGTATATGGGTTCATTCTCTGCTAATTCCAAAGGTAAGGGAATTCTTGCGGATGGACCCCCACCAGAAATTTGGGAATGGAACTGCTTTAAATATAACTGATCAGACAAAAGCCACAAAAGTAGTATTTTTATAATGAAAAATCTGATAAACAAGGTGTATATATGATGGACGGATGCCTCAAGATGTGTGGATAAACACTGGCATGTAATGGAAACCTAGAGAACAATTTTTGTAGTACAAGTCAATTTAGACAAGTACAAATAGCAGCAACTATCTGGGAGTTGCCAGCTCGCTGGTGCCTGTAGAGTCATTGTTAAGGAAAGGTGCATGGCCTGAAAGCAACGATTTGGACACAAGTTATTACACCCCACCCCACCCCCCATGCCAATGTTTTGTTGATATAACCAGCCAGGGAAATGATGGATACATACTGTTCCTTTTTCTCAGTTCTAAATAGTAGAATGATTTATGAAACAGTGTATTTGCATAAGGAAAATTGCAAAATCAGTGTCAGAGTTGCGCAAGTAGACAAAAATTGATTTCTATGATCCTAGCCTTCAATATTATTCATAATGGGAGAATACAAGCAGCTGCAGCCATCTTATAACTAGTAGCCACATATTTTCCTTTATGGTTATGATCATACTTGTCAGTATAGCACAATGTTCTCAAATAAAAAGGCAATGTAAATACGCTACAAGAACGGAATATGTGATAGCTTATGCATGCTAATGCAAGGAACTAAGGATCCGTCCAAAAAATGACTGCTTGAAATGGAAAACGGATAAGGTACAAGGCTACTAGTCTACTTTAAGATTCTATGTTAAATCATGGTAGGAATTCAGATAAATAACAGAATACTTCAGAATGAACTGAAAACTAGGAGATTTCCTGAATAACATTATTATGTGAAATTTCAAATGCATGAGACATCAGCACTGAAGTTCAAAAGGCCTTGAGAGATTTTAGTGCAACGATTTAGTATAAGGGCATACCACAGTGGCAGCGGTGGTGCCAGACTCATAGGCTGCCCAAACACCGCCTCGAGCCAGAATGATTGTACGGGTATGAAATGCAAGCCTGTGTATAGGCAGAAAATCAGATCCAAAAACCCTATTTAAAGAAACGAACTCTTAAAAAATAAACTAGGAAGGTGACTTTATCAGTATTGAAAAAAAAATAAAGTTCGATATCACCATAAGTCTTACTATTGTTTGACCGTAGTCAATGTTTTGACTTGCAAATGGAGGTTGCTTGTTATCAAAACTCAAAGTTGATCTCATGTGATCATTAACTGTGTTTCCGAAGGAGTTACCTGATAAAAGAAATGAAAGCATTGTTTTGCTGCAATAAATTACTAAAATAAATTTGAATGTGCAAAGGGTCCTAAACTCAAGATAAGTAACAACATCCTCTGAATATATAGTACTTCTTCCTTAGGTGTTTCTTATACTGACACAGTAAAAGCTAAACTGGTCTCTTGTTATTATCATTTTATTTCTACCTAGTGTGGTATTACTATGTCGACTCGCAACTTATGCCTTTTGGAAAGCTTTTCCCTAGAAAGCAAGACGAAGAAAATGGTTACTCCTAGTGGGAAAAAAGTATATATCTTTCTGTAAAGTGTTTTATCAACTCTTTTAGTTTTGTCCCACAATGTCTTTATATGAATATTAAGAGTGACCAGATAGAAACTATATCTATATGGATAGAGTTGCCTTGAAAAATACTATATAATGTTATATTTTCGGTAAAATTTAAAAACATGTCACAATAGAAGTTGATGGTTAACTTCAAATTATGTTATAGCTAGCTACAGACATTTCTGCAAAATGTTTAGCTACTCAGCAAGAGCAGAAAGCAATGTGTGTTCCCTGTGGTGAGGCTGGGAACAAGTATCTTACTATTTGTGCTAATTTTTAGTCACAACTCACATCCTCTATATTTAAAATAAAATGGAGTCACATATGATTGTTAACGTTATGCCACTTACACCATAAACTTATGCTCAGAAAAAAGGGACATGCATAGACATAATGTTTATTCGATGCCCCGAGATCCACGTTCATTGTGCGTTTTTGCTCAAGAAACATGAACAAGTTGGGCTTCCCTTATGGCTATGGGACTGAGATACTCCATTTAACAAAAAAAATATATCTTTGATCCATCACCAAAAGTTTCTAAACCATAACAGAAAACATAATACTTGGAAGGTTAATCTTCCTATAATGCACACTCACAAACTGGATAATAGAAATACATTCTGGTACCTGAATTACTAATTTAAGGTTTATAGCTTCTCCTGGGCAGGCCTGATCTCATGTGTTTTTCAGGCAACAAATTGAAATCAAAACTTCAAGAGACTACTATAGTTCACAACTTCAATAGCCTACGAACATGTACACATGACAAGGAAACCTGCTGAAAGAAATGTACACATATGGAAAGGAAAAAAAAACGTAAGTGGAAAAGGGCAAAGGAACCTAATTAAAGATGAAAGCCGGGAGATTAGTGACGAATGGCATCAGTTCTGATCCACAGAACATGTTGTGCCGAAAGAAACAAATGGCGCTATATAAGCACATCCATGAATGATTGCTACAAAGCAATAACTAGAACTACAACAGTACATACGATGATATATGATCCCAAATCCCAAGAACATGCACACAGATAAGGCAGGAGTACCAAGACTAATAGTGAAGGACAACTCCAAGTCTCCAAGCTACCAGTCCATGGCAAGGAAGGCAAGTGAACGCCATTTCTGCCATCGAGTTTAACCACTATCATGTTAGAGATCCCCAGCGCAGTTCAGACGGTCTCCAACGAGAAACCCATATAGGCACACAAACCCAAAATGGCCCAAAATGGGTAGGAAGAGACCCAAAATTAGCCTTCAATAGAGTCCCTATACGGAAGAGCTATTTTGGGTTGCCTGATAGTCACGACCTAAATATAGACATCCTCTCTCTTGGAAACACATTTGCACAAAGAATTCTCATTTGTGTTTTGTTGTCGGAGAAGATACCGAATAAGTATTGAACTTTTCGACTGTAGCGCTACTAAAGTACGAATGAATATTGTATTTTGGGTGTTGTCGTTCAGATAGCCTAATCGCATCAAAATAGCAGCGCGCCAAGTCCACGAAGACTAGTCAACCGGTGTGCCCAAGGGACATGCAACCAAATCCGATAGCACACATACATAACCCCACATCAAAAGAAGATGCTTAACTGCAAAGAAGAAAGAACACAGCCCATCCTAAAAGATTCCACAACCTTTAACAAATACAGAAACATCTCATCCGCTATTTCGGAGACCAAGAACGCAAGCGGGGAAAGAAACACGCTCCAAGAAAGCATGGCTGCAGTATACCAGAGCAATCCAGGGACGCGTACATGGCGGACCGACACAGCAACAGGGACACTAGTCGTCTAGTCCTATGGGATATGGCGGGGGGAGAGAGATGGAAACCTTTGGAAGCGGGAGAGGAAGACGAAGAGCGGAGAAGCATGGCTCCCACGCGCCTCCGTCGGTGCGTCCGCCAAGCAAAGGCTGCTCTCTGCGCCTTGCCACCTCCCTGCCGTCCCTTCCTCTGGTCTGGCCCCCTCGGCTGCATCACTCCACTTGCGCTGTTCTTTTATCCCTCAATCTTGTTCCAAGGAGCCCCCACAGCTCTCTATTCTATTGCAAATTTGTATGGCCACATCTGGTGTGACACTTTTTGCTATGGCAAGTAGGGGCAGGGAGAAAAACTAGTAGAGTAGCAAGAAGAAGATGCCGATGGTTTTGCTCCCCAGATGGCTTCGTTGTATTATCACGGCTTCCAGGTTATGTCAGGAACAAGAGAAGGTGCAACTGTTTTTTTAAGAGTGGTTGTTGGTTACTAAGAGGGAAAATTAATTTATAGATTCTAGATCCATCAAGTATTTATTGACAAATGTGTGGAACTAATCATTCAGACAGGTTATGTATTATTATGACCAACCTCGCATGGTCTGATGATGAATTATAGTTACAGTCACTTATTCTTGAAAATAGTAGTAAATTGATAATGGCGAACCTTGACGTACATAATGCACTAGGGACAATGATGACTTTTCAAACTTTGGCATATTTTTCTTGGAGAATACAATGCTTATAGTTTACTTTATGACCATTCTAATATGAACACTGCAATAGTATTCTTGTACCACCTAAAACAAAAAGAAATATAATTTAATTTCTATTATCTATGAATATCATTAACATAGAAGTATAATAAGATGGGTTGTGGAAAACATCAAAGATGTCAAGGCATGTTAGAATTTAACAGTACTATATTAATTAGAAAATGAATTATTCTAAGAGAAAAAATATAGAGAGACCACATATCTCTTGTAAGATAACGGATTATGTTGCTTGTTTGCAAGATTTGTTTTGTTGTCTTGAGTACGTGTTGTTTGTTTTACTAATAGAGGGGACCAGTTCATATCGATACAATAGATTAAGTAAACAAAAAAGTAGTTGTTGCCTGCGCCAGATTGATTGTAGCAATAACAATTATTTAATCTCAGTGAGAATTATGAAATGACAATGCAATAGTGCAATTTGGTGCGCATAATACAATTATGGCATGGCAACTTTTCAAAGTTCGGCATACTTTTTCTTGAAGAACACAATCCTCGTAACCTAGAAAGCAACACTAACATGATTTCCTTCCATCCACATATATTTTTTTTAAAAAAATAAAGCTATTATGACTTGTAGCCAAATAATGTGTACCTAGTCAGGCTAACGATTTAATTTGAATCATGTTGAATTAGTAGTATACTGATCAAGTAAATAAAATAGGGGAAAGAGTATTGCCAGGCAGAGCAGACTTTAACAAAAATAAGAGAGAGAGAACTTTACATCTCAACTTGCAGCAAAGCCGCAAAGGGAGCCTTGGTGGATCCCCCCCCCCTGGTGGGTCTTGATATGGTGGTAGTCATCCTCTGGCACATCTGGAAGTCGAGGAACACCCTGATCTTTGACTCTGAGAACATCGGCGTGGTTGGGGGGTTGCTACAAGCCGCCAAAGACCTTTGGGCCTGCCGTTTCAAATGACACAAAGACCTCGTCCTGTTTTGGAGAGATTTTGTTTTGAGCTATTGAAACACTTTGTAACAGTCTGTCGCCTGTAATTTTCCCTCCCTTTCTCTAACTATTTCTCTCCTTCTCACCCCCGGTGTATTTTGTATTTGCCTATACTTTGGCTGCTCGTTCAATGAAACTATGAAAGTGCGTGGGACTAAGTCCCCCCTAATTGATAAAAAAAAACATCTCAACTTGATGTACCCATAGCAATGACTACGGTTAACATGACACATCAAGATAATTAAAAAGAGAAAAATGACACTAAACATCATGAGCGCCAAATTTTCCAATTGGCAACGTCAGGCAGTGGCCCATCCCCTGAGGTCACCGATAGTTTGTTGGGGCGAGCATCCAATGGCCCCAGTGCAGAGGGGCCTGGTTCGATGAATGGTGGCCAGGTCCCCGTAGTTTATTCGTCGGTTACCATCTATAGCAACGTTTGTTATTATTAATAAATACTCATGGAATGGAGGAGTATGGCTTCTGCAACCCACAGCCTCGGATTAGTTTGTTGTCTTAGGCTATCTTCAATAACAACACTTAAAATATAAGATATATTCGTTCTTTGGGTAGTGCTACAGGTAAAAGGTTTAATACATATTCGGTATCTTCTCCAACAACAAGACCCAAAAGAAAATCATTTCTACAAATGAGTTTTCAGGAGAGAGAGGATGCCCATACTTAGGTTGTGCCTCTCAGACAAACCAAAATAGGTCTTCCGTATAGATACTCTGTTGGAGGCTGATTTTTGATCTCTTGCTACCCATTTTAGGTTTGAGTGTCCATATGGGTACCTTGTTGGAGACGGTCTTACTATGTAAGTAGTAGATATACATAGTATGTCACTACTACAAAAATAATTTTTAGCAACGGTTTTTTTAGGGGCGGCTCCTGTATCAACCGCCCCTACAATGGGTGAGCTCGGGTCCCATAATTCCAGTCGTCCCTACAAATCTAATAGTAGGGGCGGCTGATGATATGAGCTGCCCTCTACAAATGGGGTAGATTTGTAGGGACGGCTCATTTACTAGCCGCCTCTACTGTTCGATTTGTAGGGGCGGCTCAATCACCAGCCGCCCCTACAAGTGTCTGTTTCGCCAAAAAAGAAAAAGGCTAAAATGGTATGTGTCAGGAACATTTTCTGCGTGGTACATAGATTCGGTAGTAGTGGGAGAGATTGCTCAAGAACATTGAAAAATAGTTCTCCATCATACCGAATCTAATTTAGTTGGGAAAAAGGATAAATTCGGTGAATACTATATATAGGTGTGTATATATATACAAATTCGTACATTGTTTACAAGTTAACCGGTCAAGACTAGTATAATACTCCTACTAGAGAATGCAAGTGGCAATAGCCAAAAACTGCCGACACCATGGATGAATTAGTAGCACTGCACATAATTAAAGTTGGAACAGATTTTTTTATACAAAAAACTAAGAAGTAGGACCACTTTTATAATATGGAGAAAAAAAGGAAAAATAACTAAAGGAGGTCTAGGACCACAGATAACTTTCACACGCTATTCCTTGCGCTGTAGCACAACTGGGACTCTGGGAGACTGCATCTTTTGACAAGTCATATATGCCTAAGTTGTTTCAATTTGTTGAAATACTCTCTCCGTCTCAAGAGATTTTTTTTTTACTTTTTGATAAATCAAATTGTTCTTCGTTTGATCGAATCTATAAAAAATACTAACATTTATGACATGGTATAAGTATCATTTGGTTAATAATAGAATATATTTTATAATATGTCCATTTTAAGTCATAAATGTTTATAATATTTTATATAAACTTAGTCAAACCACTAGTTTGGAATTACATTTTTTTGGATGGAGTTAGTAATAATAATGTTGTGTCTGGTGTGTTCCTCCTTCAGATACTCCACCACCGGAGCAGGAGCCTCAAATCATAGGTCCTCTTCCTTACACGAGAAATGGCTCCGGCTCATCTTTGTATATCCAAAAACAGCTTTCTCTCCTCAGCTGTCTGGTGTGGTTTCTCCTACTTCTTCTCTATTGAAACTGCTGCCTCAGCCGAGCTGCGCCAAACACGCCATAGGAACCCTACATTTGGTCCTTCTGCATATTTTTTTTGTCAGTTCTTAGTGTCTTTGCCTGCCTTGACACGATCGACAAGTGGACAAAAGATTATGGCCCTTAGTTTCTCTGAGGTTGAGGCCGGTTTCACGGAAAAAGAGTCATTGTCAGGGCGCCTCAATAACACCACCCATGCGCGGCAGCCATGCGGATCCTCTTCCCGTTGCAGTATATAACACCACCTACAAGGCTACAAGTACTACCAAAAGCACCAGCAGTATATTATAATAACACAGATACAAACATAATATATGTTTCAGAATCTCAAGTTTACTAGCAGCAGCAGCAGGCAGCAGAGTAAGAGGAAGGGTCCCATCCCAATGAGAAACACGAAAGAGCGCGAGCTCGTGCACACAGCTCGCTGGCCCCATTAGATGCAAAAACTGCAACTTGTCCAGCCGTAATGGATAGCTCCGTGCAACTTACATTTTACAATGCCGAATCGGGCACCTCCGGGCCACCGGAGCACCAAAGAGAGATTAAAGAAGGAAGCCTGCACGCAGCCTGCCGCTTTGGGGGGCTCCATTCTTGCCCATGCGTGC